TAGGCGGAAAAATATGTCACGTAGGCCTAAGCTGACGCCTTGAGAGACCACGAGGTTGGCTAGCTCTCAATGTTAGCGAAAGCATTCGGATCAACAAAGACGTCCCTGCGCTTCCGTCACAGAAATAGTCACATGGCCTAGTCACCTGTGTTGCGCTATTGCATTATAACAAGTAAGTCTCATTCGATCTCAGACAGGGTTTAGATAGGGCAGTGATAAAGTTAACAAGAGCTAACAGTGAGTTCATTTCAGGGTTTCCGTCAGAACCCACTTGACTGCGAGAAATTGACTGCGAGAGATTGACTGCCGTTTGAGACTGCTGTTGAGGATTGATGACTGGCGATTGTCGCCGTTGGAACGATCAGTGCAGGCTTGTCACTGGTTAGCGGGGTAGCAGAGGCTCTCTTGAGTGAACGAGTGCTCCTGACAACTAAAACGATACGGGACCAGCATCAGCATTGGGTGATCAGTTCTTACCACGTGGGTGCACAACACCACGTGTCCTTGGTCAGATAGAAGTATTACCTACTGGCCATAGTCACCTGTTGGCGTTCTCTATTTCCCCCATGGACGCACTGAGAGTACACTGGAGGCTATCTGAGTAGATTAATGGTCACACACTGAGACCAGGAGTTGAGATACCTAGAGAAACATTTTATCTCCTTATTTCGGTATGTTGAATTGGGTGGAGCATGGTTCATTGGATAGGACCCAGTAACATCTCAATAATAGTGACAATATTTTGTGTGTAGTAATAGTTTTTAAATGATTTTGATAGTATTGTTTTTTGAATGTTTGTGTCACTAAGTAGAACTAGAGGATACTGTGATTTAATTCCTTTTGCATTTAATTTTTTATAATCTGGACGAGTATAACCTTTGTTCCCCAGAGAGTAGTTTTAAGTTAGGTTAGGAATTGTGCATCTGTTGGGGTGATATAATTTTTGGAGTGCCCTTAAGGCCTGTTCATTGTAGAGTTATTAATTTCTATTCTTTTTTTTACCATTTTCTCAGTGCTGGATATCATTTTGTTGAGTGCCCTTAAGGCCTATTCATTGTAGAGTTATTGATTTCCTATTGTTTTATAAAAATTTCTCAGTGATCGATGTTATTTTGTTGAAAGCCCTTAAGGCCTGTTTCATGTGTGCAAGCAACATTTCATAATACTTTAAATTTATTGTTGCCTGAGTTTCTAATAACTTCATATCATGTATAACTTTTATTCCCCAGAGTAGTGTTTTAAGTTCAAGTTAAGAAGTGCTATATTGGTGTACCATTATTTGATTATGTTTGTAGTGCTGGAGGAATATAAGTGTCTAAATTTTACAGTTTGTCTCATTCATCCCAGTCACAGACGCTATCCTTCCACGGAGTCTGGACAGTTCATTTTTGTAGTAGAATTTAAGTGTTCTTGTGCTGGTTAGGTTTTTCTCAAAGTGGCTTCCACTGGAATGCAGAGCAAAGCTTAATAATATTGTCCCTAGTGTCATTCAAAATTGAAGAAATAAATGAATCCTTCCATTTCTTGATAATAGCTATCATGAGAAATGTAAAACTATAAATTTAAGGAATATAGAAAGCCCACACAGGTAGACAGTTTCATTCACTTTTATCAGATCACCTTGAGTCTACCAAAATGTCAGTTTTTCACTATGTTCTAAAGTGTCTGCTTGTATTGTGACTCTGAATTTATTGACGATGAATTGAGAAACATTCGTTCTATTGCACAGAATCTTGGGTACCCTTCTGTGTTTGTTATTCGTTGCATTAAAAAGGGCTAAAAAATCCTTTCATTCCTCTCAAACCAGACAAGTTCTACTTAAGAATATTTTTGACTCTGCCCTATCGTAATGAATTTGTCCCGTTAGTTCGGTCCTCTGCTTTAAATGTTATTGTTGTTTTCAAGTATGACTCAACCATTGCAATATGTTGTAAGAATAGCCCAGGTTTGAATGTTAAATGGAAGTGTTTGTTGTATTCCATGTGGCAAATGTAATTGTAATTATGTGGGTCAGACGGAAAAACACTTGCAGCTCGATTCAAACAACATAAGTATAATATCAGAACTGTATCTGAAAGCAGTGCCTTGTTCGTTCATGTTAGGAATAATAATCCTGCCCCATTACTTGGGAAAAAAGCTTAGAAGTATTCTACTCATCTTGTGTCACAGAAAAGACTTCTGGTTGAAGCTAGTTTGATTAAGGAATTAAAATCAATAAACTTAGTGATGGTCAGTTCCAAAACTGATATGTTGCATAAATTTGTTGTCCAGTGGCCCAAGGTTAAAAATGCTTTGAAAACTTTTGATCTTGATGTATGATAGTTATTTTGTGGGTCCTTTTTTTCTGACCTGACCTGTCTAGTCACGTCACCATCTCTTAAGCTTAATAAGTCACTGGTCCCGATGAGATATTTGCCGAGTATTAAAGGAATGTAAGGAAGAGCTTAGTATGCCTTAGCAAAGTTGTTTAACATGTCCTTAAAACAGGTGTAGTACCAGAATCCTGGGGATAGCGAATGTAATACCGATTTTCAAGAAGGGGGATAGATCACTATCCTCTAACTACCGCCCAATCAGTCTAACATCAATAGTAGGAATTACTGGAAGCAATCATTTCAAACTCTATTCTGAAATCACCTGGAGAAGCACCGATTGATCAATGATTCCCAGCATGGCTTCCAAGCGGTTCTTGCTAACAAATCTATTAACATTCTTTATCAGTTTTCGAATCAGTGGACGAGGCTACAATTATGATGTGGTATATCTCGACTTTAGCAAAGCCTTCGACAGAGTCCTCACGAAAGACTAATTAGAAAGGTAGAAGCTCATGGCATCAAAGGTGACATCCTTAAATGGATTAGGGCGTGGTTACAGGACAGGGAAACGGTGAGCATTAAGGCACTAGAGTCCCATTGGAGCAACGTCACAAGTGGAGTTCTCAAGGCTCAGTACTTGGACCATTATTGTTTATTATATACATAAACGACATAGATATTGGCATAGCAGCAACATAAGTAATTTGCTGATAACACTAAATAGAGCGTGTTATCAAATCTGACGAGGACTCGGCAAAACTACAGGAAGATCTAAACAAATTTTTCCAATGGTCTGAAAAATGGCAGATGAAATTCAATGTCGACAAATGTAAAGTTACTCAGTATAGGAGGTGTAAACAGAAACCAGATACCAGATGAACAACGATGCCATAGAAATCCGACTGCGAGAGAGATTTAGGAGTAATGATAGTAGGAACCTTAAGCCAAGTAAACAATGTGTTTTTTTGTTAACAAGGCTAATAAAGTACTTGAGTTCATACAAAGGAGTAATTAGTTACAAGTCTAGCGAGGTCATCCTAAAACTGTATCTCTTCTTGTGAGACCGCACCTGGATTACGCAGTTCAGTTCTGGTCACCGTATTGCAGATGGATATAGAATCCTGGAAAGAATTCAGAGAATGACAAGACTAATCCCGGGCATTAGGAACCTTGTATAGAGACAGGTTAAGCATCTTAATTTGCACTCCCTCGAGAGACGTAGAGCGAGGGCGACCTGATAGAGGTGTATAAGTGGAAGGCAGGGCTAAACAAGGGACATTACAAAGGTACTCAAATTATCCAACCAGGAGCGAACTCGTAACAATGGTATTAAATTAGACAAATTTAGATTTAGGCGTAAATAGGTAAACACTGGTTTGGAAACAAGTGAGTGGATGAATAAGACAAGTTACAAATATCATCATTACTCGAATATTGAATTGCTTCAAACATAGGTTGGATGCTCATATGAGCAATAGGGGTTGGGTGTAAACGGGACTGCCCAGTATGGGCCAATAGGCCCGCTGCAGTTTCCTCCATTCTTATGTTCTTATGTTAATAACGGTAAGTTACAATAGATGCCCATTTTTTATAGTAATGTGTACGATTTTCGCCTCTATAACCAGTGGTTGCTGGGGTCGGTGATCAATAATGGCTTTCGCATTTTTGCCTGTGGGGGCTCGGGGAGGTGGTGGAGGGAGTGATTTGCTACCTGAACGCCTGGGAACTTTTAAAGTGAATGAGAAAAAAGACCCTAAAGCTAAGAGACAAAGCCACAAGAAGCGTGCCTACTCGGTTAAGGATAAAGAACAGTTTGTTGAGCTCATTGAAAGTGGTGCACGGAACATTGATATTGTGAGGAAATTGAACTGACCTGAGTCTAGAGTGCGAAAAATTAAGATGAACTTAGAGGAGATCAAGAAGAGTATTGACCTGGCTCAGAAATATTTCGGTAGTGATGGAAATGCGAGGCGAGCTATGAATGATAAAAGTGATAGAAACAGGTTGTTTGTGATAACAGAGCATTTTCTTGTGAAATGGTTAGCTTGTAGAATGAAAGACAGTGCAAGTGTTAGCGGCCCTCAGATACGGAACAATCATCACACCAAGCACCTCAAAAACTCCCCCAAGCTAAGTGTTATATTAACACAAACTCTTTATTTTGATGATTGAATAACAATTCTTTTTATTTCTGCTAACAAAAAGTGTTAGGAGGGCTTCTAAGGGGAAAAATTTGGTGAAATTCTTGGGGCAGCGGCACCAATAAACCCTTTTTACATGTATTTTAATGTCACACAAACAACGTTTTCACTAATAATGGTGTTTTTCAGGCACCTATTAGACGTTATTGGTGAGAGCCTACTGTATATATATATATATATATATATATATATATATATATATATATATATATATATATATATATATATATATATATATATATATATATATATATATATATATATATATATATATAATTTTTTTTTAGGATATACCATTTGTAATAATTCCTACGGCCCAAATGCAGAAAAGTATAAAATGCAAAAAAAAATTGTCACATGCATAAAGCTCTTCATGAAAATTTTGTTCACAGAATGTTAGCTGTATACAGACATTGTTGAATATTGTATAAAATTAGCTGATATTTAGTTTATATGTTAAAAAGCAATCCTAAAATGGTCTTACGAATCTTGGGCAGCCCACCTGCCTTGGTGAGGGTGCCGTCCCTGTAAACAGAGCTGGTGAAGATGCCTGTCGCTCCCTCCAACAAGTACCGGACCCACGTGTTGCCGGAGCGAGGGAAAGATTCAAGCAACGTTCCATCTATGTCCTTAGCATACCTTACCCTCAACCTGTTGGAGAAAAGGAACTCTGTGTTATTCCTGCTTTCTGGTATTATAAGATTCGTGTATTCAGTGATCCTCTACCGTAGTGTTGGTTATATGTAGTACTACTACTCTTGTACTGGCGTTGGGTTACTACCACTGTTACACTGGCGTTGTGTTACTACTACTGTTATACCGGCGTTGTGTTACAAACTATTGTTGTACCAGCACTCTGTTACTACTAGTATTGTACTGGCATTGTGTTACTACTAGTGTTGTATTGGCGTTTTGTTACTAATAGTGTTGTACTGGCGTTGTGTTACTAACAGTGTTATACCAGCACTGTGTTAATACTAGTGTTGTACAAGCACTGTGTTACTACTAGTGTTGTACTGGCGTTGTGTTACAACTAGTGTTGTACCAGCACTGTGTTACTATTAGTGTTGTACCAGCAGTGTGTTACAACTAGTGTTGCACCAGCACTGTTACTACTAGTGTTGTACCAGCACTGTGTTACTATTAGTGTTGTACCAGCACTGTGTTACTACTAGTGTTGTACGAGCACAGTGTTACTACTAGTGTTGTACCATCACTGTGTAACAACTAGTGTTGTACCATCACTGTGTTACTACTAGTGTTGTACCAGCACTGTGTTACTACTAGTGTTGTACCAGCACTGTGTTACTATTAGTGTTGTACCAGCACTGTGTTACTACTAGTGTTGAACCGGCGTTGTATTACCACTAGTGTTGTACCAGCACTGTGTTACTACTAGTGTTGTACCAGCACTGTGTTACTACTAGTGTTGTACTGGCGTTGTGTTACCACTAGTGTTGTACCATCACTGGGTTACTACTAGTGTTGTACCAGCACTGTGTTACTACTAGTGTTGTACCATTACTGTGTTACTACTAGTGTTGTACTGACGTTGTGTTACGATTAGTGTTGTACCAGCACTGTGTTACTACTAGTGTTGTACCGGCACTGTGTTACTACTTGTGTTGTAACAGCACTGTGTTACTACTAGTGTTGTACCAGCACTGTGTTACTACTAGTGTTGTACTGACGTTGAGTTACTACTAGTGTTGTACAAGCACTGTATTACTATTAGTGTTGTACCAGCACTCTGTTACTACTAGTGTTGTACTAGCGTTGACTTACTTCTAGTGTTGTAAAAGCACTGTGTTGGTGTTGTAACAACACTGTGTTACTACTAGTGTTGTACCAGCACTGTGTTAGTGTTGTAACAGCACTGTGTTAGTGTTGTACCAGCACTGTGTTACTACTAGTGTTGTACTGACGTTGTGTTACTCCTAGTGTTGAACCGGTGTTGTTTTACTCCTAGTGTTGTACCATCACTATGTTACTACTAGTGCTGTACTGACGTTATGTTACTACTAGTGTTGTAACAGCACTATATTACTATTAGTGATGTACCAGCACTTTGTTACTACTAGTGCTTTACTGGCGTTGTCTTACTTCGAGTGTTGTAACAAATCTTTGTTAGTGTTTTAACAACACTGTGTTACAACTATTGTTGAACCAGCACTGTGTTAGTGTTGTAACAGCACTGTGTTAGTGTTGTACCAGCACTGTGTTACTACTAGGGTTGTACCAGCACTGTGTTACTACTAGTGGTGTACCATCACTGTGTTACTATTAGTGTTGTACTAGCACTATGTTACTATAAGTGCTGTACCCGCAATGTGTTACTACTAGTGTTGTACCAGCACTGTGTTAGTACTAGTGGTGTACCATCACTGTGTTACTATTAGTGTTGTACCAGCACTGTGTTACTGCTAGTGTTGTACCAGCACTGTGTTACTATTAGTGTTGTACCAGCACTGTGTTACTACTAGTGTTGTACCAGCACTGTGTTACTACTAGTGTTGTACCAGCACTGTGTTACTACTAGTGGTGTACCATCACTGTGTTACTACTAGTGTTGTACTAGCACTATGTTACTATAAGTGTTGTACCCGCAATGTGTTACTACTAGTGTTGTACCAGCACTGTGTTAGTACTAGTATTTGTACTGGCGTTGCTAGTAGTATTTGTACGTGCGTCGTCAACACTACTAGTGATGTACCAGCATAATATTTTAACTAGTGTTGTGCCAGCACTGTATTGTTGCTAGTTCTACAGGTGTTGTCTTACTTCTAGTGTTGTACTGGCGTTGTGTTACTAGTAATTTGTACTGGCGTTGTGTTACTAGTAGTGTTGTACTGGCGTTGTGTTTGCTAAAATATTATTTGTTCTGGCGTTAATGTTACTACTAGTGTTATTACTGGGTTGTGTTACTATTAGTGTTGGCCCGCAACCCATATTTACTACTAGTATTGTACCAGCACTGTGTTACCACTAGTGTTGTACCAGCACTGTGTTACTACTAGTGTTATTACCAGCACTGTGTTACTGCTAGTGTTGTACCAGCACTGTGTTACTACTAGTGTTGTACCAACACTGTGTTACTACTAGTGTTGTATCAGCACTGTGTTACCACTAGTGTTGCACCAGCACTGTGTTACTACTAGTGTTGTACCAGCACTGTGTTACCACTAGTGTTGTACCAGCACTCTGTTACTACTAGTGTTGTACCAGCACTGTGTTACTACTAGTGTTGTACCAGCACTGTGTTACCACTAGCGTTGTACTAGCACTGTGTTACTATAAGTGTTGTACCCGCAATGTGTTATTACTAGTGTTGTACCAGCACTGTGTTACTGCTAGTATTGTACCAGCACTGTGTTACTACTAGTGTTGTACTAGCTCTGTTACTACTAGTGTTTGTACCAACACTGTGTTACCTACTAGTGTTGTACCAGCACTAATGTTACCACTAGTGATGTACCAGCACTGTGTACTACTAGTGTTGTACCAGCACTGTGTTACTACTAGTGTTGTACCAGCACTGTGTTACCACTAGCGTTGTACTAGCACTGTGTTACTATAAGTGTTGTACCCGCAATGTGTTATTACTAGTGTTGTACCAGCACTGTGTTACTGCTAGTATTGTACCAGCACTGTGTTACTACTAGTGTTGTACTAGCACTCTGTTACTACTAGTGTTTGTACCAACACTGTGTTACTACTAGTGTTGTACCAGCACTGTGTTACCACTAGTGTTGTACCAGCACTGTATTACTACTAGTGTTGAACCAGCACTGTGTTACCACTAGTGTTGTACCAGCACTGTGTTACTACTAGTGTTGTACTAGTACTGGGTTACTATAAGTGTTGTACCCGCAATGTGTTACTACTAGTGTTGTACCAACACTGTGTTACTGCTAGTATTGTACCAGCACTGTGTTACTACTAGTGTTGTACTAGCACTGTGTTACTACTAGTGTTTGTACCAGCACTCTATAACTATTATTGTTGTGCCAGCACTGTGTTTCTACTAGTGTTGTACCAGCACTGTGTTACTACTGGTGTTGTACCATAACTGTGTTACTACTAGCGTTATACCATCACTGTGTTACTACTAGTATTGTACCATCACTGTGTTACTACTAGTGTTGTAACATCACTGTGTTACTACTAGTGTTGTACTGGCGTTGTGTTACTAGTAGTGTTGTACTGGCGCTGTGTTACTACTCGTGTTGTATCAGCACTGTGTTACTACTAGTGTTGTACCAGCACTGTGTTACTGCTAGTTGTACTGGTGTTGTCTTATTTCTAGTGTTGTACTGGCGTTGTGTTACTAGTAGTGTTGTACTGGCGTTGTGTTACTACTAGTGTTGTACTGGTGTTGCGTTATTAGTAGTGTTGTACTGGCGTTGCGTTGCTAGTAGTGTTGTACTGGCGTTGTGTTACTACTAGTGTTGTACTGGCATTGTGTTACTACTAGTTTTGTATTGGCGTTGTGTTACAAACTATTGTTGTACCACCAGTCTGTTACTACTAGTATTGTACTGGCATGGTTTTACTACTAGTGTTGTATTGGCGTTTTTTTACTAATAGTGTTGTACTGGCGTTGTGTTACTACCAGTGTTATACCAGCACTGTGTTACTACTAGTGTTGTACGAGCACTGAGGTACTACTAGTGTTGTATCAACACTGTGTTACTACTAGTGTTGTACCAGTACTGTGTTACTACTAGAGTTGTACTAGCACTGTGTAACTACAGGTGTTGTACCAGCACTGTGTTACTACTAGTGTTGTACAGTACCAACACTGTGTTACTTCTAGTGTTGTACCATCACTGTGTTACTACTAGTGTTTGTACCAGCACTCTATTACTACTAGTGTTGTGCCAGCACTGTGTTACTACTAGTGTTGTACCATTACTGTGTTACTACTAGCGTTATACCATCACTGTGTTACTACTAGTATTGTACCATCACTGTGTTACTACTAGTGTTGTAACATCACTGTGTTACTGCTAGTGTTGTACTGGCGTTGTGTTACTAGTAGTGTTGTACTGGCGCTGTGTTAGTACTCGTGTTGTATCAGCACTGTGTTACTACTAGTGTTGTACCAGCACTGTGTTACTGTTAGTTGTACTGGTGTTGTCTTACTTCTAGTGTTGTACTGGCGTTGTGTTACTAGTAGTGTTTTACTGGCGTTGTGTTACTACTAGTGTTGTACTGGTGCTGTGTTATTAGTAGTGTTGTACTGGCGTTGTGTTGCTAGTAGTGTTGTACTGGCGTTGTGTTACTACTAGTGTTGTACTGGTTTCGTGTTACTAGTAGTGTTGTACCAGGACTGTGTTACTACTGGTGTTGTACCAGCACTGTGTTACTGCTACTGTTGTACCATCACTGTGTTACTAATAGTGTTGTACCAACACTGTGTTACTACTAGTGTTGTACCAGCACTGTGTTAGTCCTAGTGTTGTAGCAGCACTGTGTTACTACTAGGGTTGTACCAGCACTGTATTACTGCTAGTCTTGTACCAGCACTGTGTTACTACAAGTGTTGTACCAACACTGTGTTACTACTAGTGTTGTACGAGCACCGTGTTACTACTAGTGTTGTACCAGCACTGTGCTACTACTAGTGTTGTACCAGCACTGTGTTACTA